TAGAAAAAAATAAAGTATTTTATTTCAAAAAGTCAAATAGAAAGCCCTTTTAAAAGTTATTTATAGAAGGAGAAAATATTGAATGGTGAAAAATTAGAAAGTCTTAAATTTGGGGGAGGAAATATGCCTCAGTATATTAAGTGTATTGGGAACTAAACTACTTAACACTTGGTAATTGATAAAAGAGAAAAAAATTGCTCTTCTTTATGATGAAAGAAACAAAATTCACCCTTGAAGTCACTTTCTCCAAACACACCATGGTCTGGTTTCTTTTTATTATTTGTAATTCTTATTTTTACCTCTTTTCAGTGGGAGAAATTAAATATAAAATATAATGCTGTGTTTGCATCTTAAGTTAGCTCTAGGTAATTTGTTTCTTTTTTCTTCAAATGAAAACATGGCATTTAAGAGGGAGAGCAATCCAAAACATTTTTTCTTTATATAAACTATAATTTTTCCATTGCACTCTAAAAATAGATCTAGTTGTCTACAAGTTTTTCATACTCAGAACCAAATTTGTTGTCTTCTTGGATTTTTGAAAGCTGCCTATCTTACTTATACTTTCTCCAAATCTGTTCTGATAGCCAGTTTCATAGTTGGTTTGTACACAAATATGCCAAGCCTAGCTCAAGTTCAATTGTGAGGGGCTTTTCTGTCACATGTCTGCCACTGGACATGGATGCTTTGCTGAGTTAATGATCTCACCATCTTTAGTTTCTCTGACTATAAAAAAAGAATTATTATGCTTACAAAAACTCTGTTGGTAAAATTATTGAAAGGCCTTGAGCTGAATTATATCTTTGTTTATCTGGTATTATTTTTAGCAACCTGGTAAGAGCCTGTATTGAGTTCTCCACCTAATATAGTGTCTTCTATCTACTCCTCAAATAAAAGTTCTACAACAGAAATAGGTTGGTATTTAAAATTATATTAAAGGATATCAGAAATTGGTATATGATAGCATATACAGTTAGTATATACTAAGCCACAAATAAATGTATACTGGCTGCACATAAATGGACATTTAAGGAATACTAATTATGTAAAATTATTAGAATGTAAGAAGCACTAGCGGATAGGTACTGGCAGAAGTCTTTTAGACTACAGAATCATTAAAAAATTAGTGCTGTGATTTACAGATAATCTAAGCTGGCACATTTTGAATCCATTAGATAATAGTGTAAGAAAGGCTATAAAGAAAAGGCCTCCTATGATCAGGTAATTTGGGGAAAAGCTAACCTAAGCAGAGGTAAATTTGTTTCTTCCCCGGCAGACTTATTTTCCTGCTGTCTTTTCTTCATGACTACAAGTGCAAAACTCATTTGCTGTGGAATAGCTTTTAGGACCAGGGTTTTATTACAATCTTTTCATTTTTCAGATGAGAAAACTGAGGCCAATAGTGATTATCTAGAGTGGCAAGCTGAATGAAACTGGATATTGAATGCTATCTGATGGCCTGATCTCCTGTACAAGATTGTCCCACAGGTTTTACCCAAGCAGGTCAGCCAGAGACACATTCTGCCCACCATCCTGTAGGGAAGAACACACACACACAGTCTGCTCCAGGAATTGGTTATTCAGGCATTAACACTGCCACAGTCAGTGTTATGGTCCATAATTCAAATTCTGAGAAACCCATGAGTTACTAAGTCCATAAGTCTTGGGTTTTTTTTTACTCAATACCTACTGTGCAGTGTAAAAGGATGTTGATATTTGGAGATGAATCTACTAAGGTTCAAAGTACAGCTTTACCAAGTAGTTATTTTTCTTTGGATCAAATCGTTTATCCCCTCTGAGCCTCAATCCCTTATCCATAAAATGGGGCTAATACCTTATATAGTTTGGGTAACAGTAGACATAGCTGAAGAGCTTGTCTGGTGAATGTGTTCAAAGAATCTAACCTGCTTCTATAATTCAACAATGCCTGAAGGAGTCTTCAGTAACTACTGTGTGGTTTTGATATTGGTTGCAGTCCTTTTGTTAGTAATAGAACTTGGTAAAATTTTTGCTGAGATTCTGCTAATGGAAATTACCTCTCTTCTCCTTTTACTGTCTTGGGTTCTTGAGTCTCTTGATGACAACTGGGAGTGTCTGTGTTAACACATGTTCTATTCTCATACCCTCAACACTGGTGTGTGTGTGTGTGTGTGTGTGTGTATGTGTTTGTGTGTGTGATCAGGAAATCATAAAGTGTTTTGTAAGATGAAAAATCAAATGAGTACTGGAATGACAATGTCTGAATTTTCTAAGCTTAAGCCATCGAGAGGAACTTAGCCATGTATGAAGTACATAAAAGGAATTTAAGAAAGAAGAGCTAATGGTCAGTGAATATATACCATCTGCCAGTACATGCTTTGCACACATCAGCCCTGCTGAACATCTTAAAGATTTAAGTGCACTTGAACTTAGCAGCTGCATTTCAGCTCCTCTGTGTGATTCGGGATTTAGTTTTGACCCTTCACAAATAAAGCCAGGGAATATTCCTTTTAAAGTCTACCCAGATATTCATTGACACATGAATAATCGTGTGTGGTTTACCATAGGAATACCACTCTCAACAAAGTTTACCATTAACATCACCATTTTTAAAAAGCTCAAATGAGCAGTGCAGCCACAGAAATATTTCAAAGACTCAAGTAACACTTCTTCCTTTAGGTTAGAGAGAGCGAATAGTCGACCTTTTATAAAGTGTGTTCTAGAATTTAAGCCTGGACTCTGCCATCATGTGACGAGTGTACTTAGAGACACCACTACAAGGTTCAGCAGTGTTGTTCCCTTCCCTACCCACCCCTCCTACTCACTGAATCAGAAGAATTTAAATTCGCAACATTTCTTAAATCTGGGGAAATTCTGAGAATTGTGTCTCCTTTCCTCTCTGTTGCCTTCCTCCCAAAATTCCCCCAAGTTCAGAGGGCTCCAAATTCCGGTCACCAAATCCAGCGAAGGAGATACTAATCTATCACCAGCAAATTTAGGCTGAGGATACTATAGATCAATCACATTGATTACATTGATGCTATTTCAAATATTTACAATATAGTGAGACAAGTCTAATCTATTTTCTAAAGAGTTCAAGGTAGGTATCACAATTTCCGAGGGGGGAAACAATGGAGAAATGTTTGTGGTTGCTATCTGCAATAATCTGATGTTGACAGAGAGTAGTATTTTATTTAGTAATTAACAGTGTAAAGGGGAGAGGAGCTGTCATGTTGGTTCTTAAGCTCGGGAATGTGATGAAAGATGATATCTACGATCTCATCCTTTCCACTTGTTTAGGATTGTCAGGATGAGAAATGTCAGCATTATGAAAGCTCAGCTCTGCTCTTGATATGATAAAACCCTTCAAAAGCCAGTCTTTCTCCCTCGTCCCCCTCCTTTCTCGCTCTCTCTCTCTGCACTTGCTTTTTTATTTATCCTGTTTTGTTAGATGGCAGAAATATAATTCTTTTCTTTCTTCCTATTATAAGCTACCATTTTTGTTTTATTATATGTTTCACAACCCCTAATGCCCCACTGAAAATTACCTTGTTAAATGACAGTGTTTCAAAGCCATGAATCCTTTCCACCATTCCCTCAGAGGTTTGAAACAGTCAACAGACTGTAAAGAATAAATAATAAAAAAGTATTGATTATTTTGATGACTGTGAGATTCAATTAAGTATTAATTTTGCCCTCCAGTGGACCTATCAAGGTATTCAAAAGGGAGGATTCAGCTCAGCTAAATGCGTGCTGAGTGCTTCAGCCTTAAATAGGGAGAAAATGTGTTTACCTACAGTATTTGAAGAAGAAGTGCATTGATGCACAGAGTCCAATATTTAAGTGCTGTGCAAATTAAGCCCTGGTGACAGTGACATTGTTTTCAGTGGTATGAGTATTGACTAAAGAAGTGCATTTGATGACAGCTTAAACTATTTGTATTGATTAACATTTTCATAGATTATCATGTGTCATATCAAATTCACTTTTCAGGCATGAATACATTAAAAAAAAAAAAAAACCACAGGCATACCTCAGCCAGTGTGATGATGGGACACGGGAGCAAGCCGCCCACCTGCTCCTGCGCTGGTCACCTGTTTCCTGCTCAGGAACCATTTAGGCATGAACTTGGCAATAAATAGCTCCCAGATCACAAAAAAAAAAGGGCATTTCTTGCTTTTCCTTTCCTTCTGCCTCAGATATTTGTGCCAAAGCGATATTATGCATCTTAGTTTGCAAATGGACTAAAAAGACTACACTTGGAAAACATTTCTGATCCTAACATGCTGTCCTAAATGAGCTGAAGATCAAGCAGACCTCAATCATTGGGGGAGGGGAAATTTGCTTTTTTGGAAGTGATTTTTGTTTTCTTTTTCTTTAATGCTCTGGGCATATGATGCTTTAGGTATCCGAATTATTGAAGAGTTTGTAAGTATTTTCCCACTTCCTTTAAAAATTTTTATGCCAATTTTCATATATTTTGTTGTGTATTGCTTGCTTTAAAATGTTCGTTTGTTTTGGGGTCAGCTTTGGTCCCCAATCTGGGACCAACCAAAGTCAACTTGTAAGTGTGCTTATAGAATTTACATAAGAAATATCTTTTATTCCATTGAAAGCGTTTTGAGGTCTCTTTTCTCCCTCTTTTCTCTGCTCTTGGGATAGGGATTAATTGCCTCTCCCCCAGGGAGAAGGCTTCTTAAAATAGCCTGTGGTCCCTCTATAGGGTGCTCCTTCTAAAAAGGTATGTTGCTGAAGTACAAACCCAGCACTTGCTTTTTTTCTTACTGCATTAAAGACAGAACAAGGTGTAAAAACATTCACACAAAAGCACATTCCACAATTAAAGCTGTGTTGCTTAGGTTGCTTTCAAAGAAGTTTCTTTCTTTCTTTTTTCCTTTCTCCGAAGCCTCCTGAATCTCTCACATGCTAGTTGAGCTTTAATAGGGTGGGGAGTAATGGAGAACTCATCGGATCTGTAATAGCTCTTCACTTGACTGCAGCCAGCAATAACAGCGGGAGCAGCCAGAGATAAGAGAGAGCAGAGAGAGGGAGAGTGTGTGTGTGGAAGAGAGGGAGAGAGGGAGAGGGAGAGAGAGGACACGCACTCTAAAGCTGCCACTTTTTTTTCCTCCCCTTCACTCTTTCCCCCCGTCCTAGGATCCAATGATAGCTGGACAAGTCAGTAAGCCCTTGCTGTCAGTGCGGAGTGAAATGAATGCGGAGTTGAGAGGTGAGGACAAGGCTGCTACTTCAGACAGCGAGCTGAATGAGCCCCTGCTTGCGCCTGTGGAATCAAATGACAGCCAGGACACTCCCAGCAAGCTCTTCGGTAAGTCTGTCTAGGTATTTCATTTCAGTCCTACCATGTTGTCCGGAAGAGCAATCCTACCCCCCGACTCCCCCTCTTTTTTTTTTTTTTTTTCCCTGTTGTTCATTCAATTTTCTTGTAAGTACTAAAGAGGAGCTTGCATCCTGGAGGTGCTAAGCCACCAAATCCGATTCCAGCTGACTTAGTAGGGTGTCCTCCAAACTTTTTCCAACAAGGAACTTCCCTCCCTCGCTGTCCATTCTGATTTGTCAAGTATTGCTGGTATTCCCCAGGCTGGAAATGATTTGAAAAAAAAAAGAAAGAAAGAAAATGGTAATAATAATCAGGAAATCCGTTCCATTGTGAGAATTGGTTAACATTTATTGAATAAATATCGACTCGGTTTCGGGTTGCTTCACAGCCTTTTGTTAAGGGGAAGGAGAGAAAAGAGTTATTATCTGTAGTCAAAAGACTAGAAAGGAGAAACTGAAAAATGTCGATACAAGTCGTGCTATGCCAGGTAAACAAAGGTGGCTACGGGAATTGCTCAAAGAAATAACATTTTGTCATCAGCATCAGAATGAATATTTCTTCTTTTAAAAGGGTTTGCGGTGGGGGATGAGGAAAATAGGTCTTTTGCATCCCTCCCTGACCCACCTCCTCTTTCACCTTAGGCTTATAGCCTCCTAGTCAACGTGGACAGCCCGGGACCTTTCAGGAATCTTTGTTTCATAAACAAAACAAGAACAAGCAGAGTGCCACTCCAGCAAAGACATCTGTCATTCAAACAGATGACACTCACTCTGTAAGCCAACTCAAGTAACTGTGATCTCTAATCAGAAAAGGGAGCAGGTTGTTGAGGCGCGTGCCTGAGTGATAGATGTTGATAGATGTCTCTGCTGGAGAAGCGCCTTGTGGTTCAGAGTGACATTAGGTTTTCAGAACCATTGCCCCTGAAACACTGGCTTTTAATTGTTTTCAAGTGTGTCTATGTGTGTGTATACACACACTTCTGTCTAATACAGAGAACTGCTGGCTTTCAGGTTAAAAGACAGCGTGAGCCTGAACTCCAGAGAAAAACAAAATCATCGCAGACACTACTTTCTTAAGAAAGCCATTAATATAGTTTAAGAAATAGACTTACGTATTTTTTTTTAGTCCATAGAAAGAAAGCTGCATTGATAGTTGGGTGACTCTTGACTGATTTCAACAAGGAGATTCCTCTCAGTTTTAAAAACTCACTCAGTCAAACATCAGAGAGGCATTGCAGAGAGACTTTGCTTTTTAAATTTTCTATTGGTAAAATACTAACATTTCCTAGAATATAATTGATTCCAGTTTCAAGAAATTCTGGAAGAGTATCTTTTGATACAAACTTTCTAAACTTGGGCATTTAAGTGTGCAGGATTTTTACTCTAATGAAGTATTTTGTTGTAGACTCTGAGTTTTTATCTATAAAAAAAGAGTTAGGTCCTAACTACTCATTTCATTTCAGTAGGCTAGTGAGAGAAGACAGAAAAAATTATAAATTATAGAAGCAAAAGCCACGCTCAAGCATCTCTGATGCTGAGTATGCTAAGTAAGCACCTTGACTCTTAGAAAGTAATCAATTATGAGTTCAACATAGCTACAGATACTAAATTATTTGTTCGAAACTTTGCATGCATTTTTTAAAAGTAAATATATTTTGTAGACTTAGGCTTATACCTTTAATTTGTTTTCTTTCAGTAAACCAACAGAAGAATGATTAATTTGGCTTTACAACATTTATTTAGATTTACCAGTGTTGAAAACTGTCATTGATGTTTTATCCTACTCTTACTGATTTTCATGTGTAGAACAATAAGCTTCAAGAAATCCAAAAGGGGCAAAGAAATTTTAATTAAAAGTTCATTGAAAATATATTTTATTGAGTGTCATAAGGAATCCTAGTTTAATTGAAAAATCATAGTGGGTTTTGGAAGTCACACATTTTCATTTTGAGATTTTAGAATTTGTGAAAGAGAATGTAGCAAAATCTATATCCTTTCTCTTTTTTAAAATTATTCACTTGATTGTCTTTGGTCTCTAAACTACTTTCTAAACACAATGTGAATCTTTCCAAGTTTCCAATTAGATAGAGAAGTCAGTTGATTAACAATCTTGAAAACTTGAGAAAAAATGGAGACAATTTGAGATAGAGATCACAGAAAGCACATGAGAAGGAAAGCACCCTAATGTTTTTGTAAGATTTCCTTGGCTATTGTGACAATAGCTCACTTTTGAATATTCTTAAGACTTAGCCTTGGGAATTCTGATTTATACAACTGACTAAAACTTTTATAGACTAATTCTCTCTGAATTTTTAGCAACTTTGCTGACACAATTTAAGGGACATGCATATGTTGGTTCGGTTTTCATGCACATATTTAGATCTTTGTATTTTGCTTTTAGATATAGTTCTAATTACGCTCTTTACTTCATAATCAAGAACTACATTTTTACCCAAATAGTTGAGAGCATACATGATTTTTCTCTAAACCATGGTTTTTCTAAGATACTCTATTTTTCAAAGCATCATTTCTATAGCTTATATATCGTATTACTGAAAACTATGCTTCTTTAATGAAAGGGGCAGATAAAGGTAAATCATATACATCTTGACATGTTTTTGTCAAGGACAAGCATTACCCACCAACTGGGGCAAGAAGAGCTTGGTTTTCCTATTGCACGTGAAATTTCAGTATATATATGGATTTCTTTGAAGCCTATTTGCCCATCTGTGTCTTGTTCAAATTAGCAGTCCAGAGGACAAGCCTGTTTCTCTCACAGTATGGCACCTTCAGCCCAAAACTGCAGGAGAAAGGCTAATACCGATGCCCTCTATGGATAAACAAAGGAAATTCCAGGAACCATTGGGCTTTTTATGCCTCTCCTTAAATTGCACCTCTGCACTTAACAGCATCCAAAGGAAAACATACTGTGCAGAATGTTTCAGTGCTCTGAGCTGCTCAGAATACCAGAAGGAGAAACAAGAAACCATATGCGCCCCTAAGTAGAAAGTTCAGAAAAGGGCCCTTGTGTTTCATAAAGTAATTACATCAGAGGTAACATTTTGCTTAACTTGAACAGCCATGGAAACTAAAGTACACTTAAGAGAGATAAATCCACATTTCATTGAGAAACATGGTGAGGTAGTTCTCTGTGATATCATTAAGTGATGCATTATTTATTCTTATAAAGCCTGTAGAATAACTACCTTGGGTTTCAGCTCTTGACTGTATTATGCTAAGCTCCGAGCCACAGAAAACAGTATGGAGAAGCCCAGGCTTGCATGGAGAGGGGAACATTCTCAGAGAATCTGGCACTATCTTTCATGGTGCTCCTGTTGTGTGACCAAATGAGTAATGCCACACAGGGCCAGTCATTAAATATGCGATGAGTGATATCCATATTGGAAACCATTCTCAAAACTGGTCTTTGGCAACCCATCTCCAAGGGAAGAGGTTGCTGTGTTTCTCTAGTGACATTTATAGCACTCGTGTCAATGTGGTGCTTTACTTTTAGTTATGCCTATCAAGAATTCAGTGTTCCACATTCAGTCAAGTTGGATGCTAAAATTCAAATGGTAGCATCAACAACTTGGCCAGAAAAATGGCTGCAGAAAAGATAAAAGTAATATATGTCCCAGGAAAAATGTCTGTACTAAAGTTTTCCTATACACTCTCAGCTGAAGAAGTGAGAAATATTTAGTGCCCTAAATATTTTCCCCCATATATATATTTGAGATTTGAAGGATGAATTATGAACAGTATTTCTCCTGGGAATTTTATTTTATTGTTTCAAGTTAAGCCTCAGGATTGCTTTTCTTCAAGTTCCAGCTACCTTGGGTGGCTATGTGAGTCTGGGTGGCTTGCTTCTCAGTGGTACTATGCTGTACGTGAATTGGGCACATAGCTCAGAACCTTGAACTGAGATGGAAACTCACCACCATTTATACATATTGTATCTGAAATTTTTAAAAATTGTGGTTGGCTTTCTCCTATGGTATTGTGTTTCTCTAGGTTAAAAGAAATTGCATGCAATGATACTTGTGACAGTTGGGTATTTTCAATGCCATTTGCCTGTGAACTATTAGAAAAGGGTTTAAGTCAGGTCAGTGATTCCTCCATGCTAGAAAATATACGATCTATTGTGTTTTCCTTTTTCTTTTGCATTATAAGTTTTTTTTTTCAAATTGCCATCCAGTTTGACTTGATTAGAATTTATGGCAGTGGAGTCATTTTCAATGACAAAAGGATAAAGGGCTAAATTGTCTGTCACCCCTTGAGACAGTGGTCTCTGCAGGTCAGCATGGAGGTCACTGCAGGGCATTATGGGGACCGCTGTTCAGGGTGATGCTGTCTCTCATCTGTGCATAAGTGGAGGCCTTCATTATGGGATCACTGTCTTCATTACTTTATTTAAACGTCTCTCTCAAGGTTTCAATACCTTGGGTATTCATAATATTCTGATAAAATATGCTGGAGCCAGTAAATCAGTAAGTAGGGCTTGAGTGCCAGAGGGATTTAGCTGGAGGATGATGAAGAAAATTATCTAGAGAAATAGCACGAACCATGCTTCTACATTTAAAAAGTTTCTATATTGTATCAACTGAGAATGCAAAGTGTGTTTTGCTAGGGAAATACTTAAACAACCTATTTTAGAATAACTAAATAATTTGAATAATAGATTCCTACAAAAACAGTTGACAGAAATCAGTAAAATGTATTTGTGTAAGTAAATGGGATGCATGATAAAGTATTTGTCAGAAACCAATTATATTTTAATAGTCAAACAAACCCTTTTCCTGCTGCTATCTGACTACTTGAGGGGGAAAATGCACATTTAGGTATGTTTCTTTCATTTAAGTAACTGTAGTGCACTGAGGTATTTCTTTAAATATCAGTGACAGGCTGTGTATATTTAGACAAATTTAGGTTAGTGGGGTTCCCCTCAAAAAAAACCATTGCAATATTGTATTGTAAAGAAATCCACTTTAA